GAACCTGGCATATGAGAAAAAGAGGTGCAAATAGTAGTGCTTTTTTTGAAAAAGGAAACCAGACAGAATCACATGACGTGGGAGAAGAAATCTGCTTCTGGATAGATGTCAAAGAATTAGCTTAGAGAATGCAACAGAGATCAGGAGGTTTTTGCTGGCAAGAATACTAGTAGCTGTTTTATTTTCCATGCCAGAGATCAAAGAACAAGTTGCATCTTCAAAGTCTCTTTGATCTAGAAGGATCTTAGCCATGCAAGGAGAACTCTTAATATGGTGCAAGAGGGCACACTGAAAGCTTCTGACACAGAAGCTCCCCAGTAATCACCTTTTTTGGTTGTTGAAATAAAAAAAAAAATATGAGATGTCCTCTCTCTAGGAGAGCATTGTAACAGGTGTCCAAGTAACACTCAGGACCCTGAGGGAAATACCAAACTGGGAGTGAACATGGTCACCGCTCACCTCCCATCGAAGGTCCCCCTCACTTGCAGTAACTGGAGCTTATTACCTGGCTGTCCTTTCATTTTTCTGTAAATCATAGCACTGTGATGGGGAGGGAAGGGAAGGAAGAATTGAGAAGTTATCTCACATTGTGGCCAAAACTGTAAATGAATTTGTATATAAATACGTTTTTAAACGGAAGTGTGTTTTTATACAACTAGGTAAAGGACCTTTTTCTCTTAGTGTGGATGAGTGTTAGGACCCAGAGCTAAGCCTTATTACCAATGATACCAATACCATTTGAGAAGTCAGCCCCTTGACTGCCTGCCGCCAGCGGTGTGGGGCATAGCTGCATGAACTCGGGAGAAATACAGTGTAGAATATAGATGGAAGTAACATGGAATAGAAATATGCAGACAGAAAATGCTGGTGAAGATGCAGGGAGGAAAGGACGCTATTACATGTTCGTGGAATGTAAATTAGTGCAACCACTGCGGAAGGCAGTATGGAAAATCCCCAAAGACTACAACTAGCCCTACGTTGTGATTCAGTAACACCACACTTGGACATTTATCCAAACAAGTACAAGCTGGGATAGGATTGCAAGTTCATTGTAGCACTATTCATAATACTCAAGTTATGGAAACAGCCCAGATGACCTACAACTGACAAATAGATCAAGAAAATGTTATACATAAATAAATATACATTTATGTATATGTTGTTCATCTGGAAGAATAACATTATTCCTTTGCAGGGAAAGAGATAGACCTGAAAAAATTATGCTGAGTGAAGCAAATTATATGCTGAGAGAGAAAGGGTGATGTTTCCTGTCCTGTGTGGAAGCCGCTGTGCCTTTCATGCCTCTCACTTCTGCCCACGCACAAAACGTCCAGTCCTTAGCCCTCTGCCCCTAGCCTCAGGCAGGACACCAAATGGCAGTGCATAATGACACCCAAGGAAGCATTGTAGAGAAAGTAAAGCAATCTAGCTGTGGAAGCTGACGTCCTCTTGTGGAACACACATTAGACGAATCTTGACAGGCTTCCACATCTCACGCAAAATTCAGCTATTAATGTATAAAGAGTCTCCTTGCACAATACAGGGTAAACTGCCAAGGATTTCCAAATATGCCCATTGGGGTCTTCCAAGAAACAGACACCAATAGGAATCTTGATGGGAAATAACACTTGTTCAAAGGCTGAAGAGTCTCAGACCACCATGCAGGAAAGCTCAGCATTGAAGATGAGGACTCCAAAGCAATGCTGGTCACCATGGGGGACGTGGCCGGCCCTGATTCCACCCTGTACATGTTCACTGGTGAAGCATGTGTCACGATGGCATTGATGAGGCAGGTTGCAAAGGTGCTGCAGACAGAAGCTGCGAGTCAGGGATACAGAGATGCACGGACATCATGCACACATGCCTGGTGGAGCAGGGAATGTGTTTCTTTTCTGTCTTTGAATATGTTGGCACTATCTCTGTGGTTCACGGAACACTCTCATTTAATGTCATAAGATAATAGATGTATTTCCTTCATCTACTGCCATGGTAAAGGAGATTTGAGGACTGGGAGAGTTATTTTAATTAAGCGCCAAAATCATTGATCATCATCATCTATGAGAAGAGCTATCCTCAGTTGAAAGTTACAGGTAGTACAATAAACAAGAAAGAGATATAAAAGATATATGAGTTCCATATATAGAAATAAAAGCCTCTTTGTTCACGAATGTCATGATGATCTAGATAGGCAATCCTGTGCTGCTGCAGCGGTTTACCCCGTGTCCTCCCTGGCTGGGTCACTAAGGTCAGAGAGTATGAGGATGGTGTTCAGAGGCAAAATAAAGGAGACTGCAAAAAGGACTGGAGACAAAATTCAAGTGCCTAACCCTGAGTTCAAACCCTAGTACTTAAGAAACAAAAACAAATAAATACCACTGCGGGGAGCCGGGGCGAACATACACGCCATTACAAGGCGCGGCCCACTTCCTTGCAGCTTTGAGGTAAACAACTCCATATTAGGCAGTGTTTGGCGGGACTGTGGGTCCTGGGCATGCGCGAGCCACTTGGAGTCCCCAGCCAATCCTGTGGCACCTGGTGACGGCGAAAGGCAGACGACCAATGATAGAACGACCCGTGTCCCTAATCCCTATATAAGTGGCCATGTTTTGTGTGCACGCTCTCTCGCGCTCAAGCTCTCCTACAAACAAGAAGGCTCTCCAATAAAGCGTGATCTGAGAAGACTCCTGGTGTGGTGGTCGTTCTTCCTCACTGGCCGAGAAGGCGTTCGCCGCATACCACCAACAACAACAAAAGAGAAAGGAGGAAAAGGAAGTCTTCCCAAATCATTAATAGTTAAAAACAAACAAAAAACACAACTTTAAGCTATGAGGTTCAAATACAAAAATAAACTTGTTTACTATACATTCTAGCAAGTAATAACTAAACTAGAATTTGAAATAAAAGTACAATATCTTTTATAATAACACCCAACATCTACATTTCATGAGTTATACAGCATCTGTATGCCTAAAAACATAAAACTTTGATAAAAGAAATCAAAGATATGGTGAAAGGGAATGTTGAAATACAGAACCAGGCACTTTAACATTGTAAAGTGTTTATTTGAAGAGCCAGCAGTTTATGAACTGAAAAGCTTCAGATCCACCAGAGGTCCACAAAGGGAAGTCTCAGTGGAGTAAATGTGCAATTGGGTGAGGAGAAGCAGGCCTCTGGGAAACTCTAAAACTGGAAACGTTCTTGTTGGACCATTGCTGGGGAACTTTAGCTACTGTATCAAGTAAACTCATTAAGAGCCAGTGGCACATACCTGTAATCCTAGCTACTTAGGAAGCAGAGATCTAAAGATCATAGTTCTAAGCCAACCCAAGCAAGAAAGTCCACAGGAATCTTGTCTCCAATGAACCATCAATAAGTTGGAAGTGGAGCAGTGGCTCAAGCGGTGGAGAGTTAACCTCTGAGGAAGAAAAAAAAGCTTGGGGACAGCACCCAAGTCCTGAGTTCAAGCCCTAGGGCCAGCACTAATAACCTTAACTGTACAAGTCAGCCATTACTCCTAAGACAGTAGTGGAGTACAGTGTTCAGCAAAATGTTCCAGTGTTGCATCTATCCCAAGAAGAGGAATACAGTGTTTCCACCGAAGAGAAGAGGCCTGCTGAAGCACCTCATCATGCCTTTTATAAGGGATGTAATGCTGTTACAGAGGATGGAGTCTCTTAATCGATTCGTAACACCATTGAAGGGATTCATTTTAGACACAGGCTTTGAAGGGATATATTGGAGTATGGAGATGACATTAAGACATCAACTCAGAAATTAATCTGCCAGGGCTGGGAAGGTGGCTCAGTGGTAGAGCGCTTGCCTCGCATGCATGAGGCCCTGGGTTCGATTCCACAGCACCACATAAGCAGAAAAAGCCGGAAGTGGGGCTGAGGCTCAAGTGGTAGAGTACTCACCTTGAGCTGAAGAGCTGAGGGACAGTGCCTAGGCCCAGAGTTCAAGCCCCACAACCAACAAAGAAGAAGGAGGAGGAGGAGGAGGAGGAAGAGGATTGGGAGTAAGATCTGGGTGCTACTGAGAATCATAGGGATGTTTATAGGCCTTCTACCATGAGTAAATTTAATCTCAGAATTATGGGTAGGAGGCAATCCATGAGAAATGTCCCATTGGCCCAATTAAAGAAATGAAATCAAAATAATTAATTTAAACAGGTGTGATACATGAAAGTCTTTGATATCTGTATCCATCTATTTATCTTCCTATCACTTATATTTCCATTATCGATCATCCATCTCATTTATTATATTACTATAGCTGTCTACCTACTTACCCTTATTTTTATTTTGCTGTTCATGGGCTTGAACTCAAGGCCTGGGTGCTGTCCCTGAGCTTCTTTTGCTCTACCACTTGAGCCATAGCTCCACTTCCAGCCTTTTCTGAGTAGTTTATTGGAGATAAGAATCTCACAGGCTTTTCTGGCTATGGCTGGCTTCCAACTGTGATCCTCAGATCTCAGCCTCCAGAGTAGCTAGGATTACAGGCGTGAGCCATTGTCACTTGGCTCTATTTATACATTTTTTTCTTTTATTCCTTTTATTCCTTCCTCCTGAGTTTCCTTTTTCCTTCCTCTTTCCCTCTCTTCTCTTTATCCTTATTTTCTACCTTCCCTTCTTTCTTCGTTCCCTCCCTTCTTCTCTCCTTCAACTATTTCTCCTCCTCCTTCTTCTTATCTACCTGCCTGTCATCTGTCTGTAGCTCTTTTTCATCTCAGGAATTTGGTTGGGGTCGACTGGCTGAGATGAAGCTACCCGTCAATGAAAAATCTTTGCTATTTCCCTTTTAAGAAAAATGGAATCTATCTTTATGAAAATTACCTTCCCACAAAAATTTTTTGACAATAAAATAAACCAAGAAGCCCTTGACACAGGACAGAACAAGTCATTTATTTTTACTTAAGTATACGTTCAGCAGCAGATGCCAGAGTGAAAAGAAGCTAAGTCGATCAGCCCTCTGGGCAGCCGAGTCTCCAGTGCTCACCACTTTCACTCATAGTCGCTCCGCCCACAGGGCTCGATGGTCACACAGCACTTCAGAGCCCTCTGGCAGAGACCAGCGAGTTCTTCATTTTTGTAGCAAGAATTCCCGCATCTTCCTTTAAGTTTGAGGCATTTCTCATCAAAAAATGCATTCTTGGCTGTAGAGGGAAGGAAGGATTTGTTCGGGTTAGCCAGGATCTGCTCATTGCCAAGCGTGTTTAGTTACCTGGCAGGTGGCAGCACTTCCAGGGGGACTTCCTGAAAGCTGCCTCAGCCCTTCCCCAGCTGGTGGATGGGGGGGGAGAATTGGGGGTTGTGGGGGGATGTCTTCTGTGTGGTACTTCTGTCTTTTGGCCATGCAAGTAAAAGACCAAAATGAATTGCTTTCTCTTTGAACATGTATTAGGCTCTCTGGAAATAGCTGCCAATAGCCTTTCATCCACATCTATTGGGATATTTGCCGATGTGTTTCTGTAAACAGTTCTAGAGTAAGGAACTTCCTTGAGATTCAAGTAGAGCAAGATCTGAAGCTAGGGAAAGTAATCAAGTCTAACATTAAGAGGGCAAATGTATCTGTACATATGTATGTGTATATACATATATGTATATGTGTATGTGTGTTTATATACATATACAGAGAGAGAGAGAGAGAGAGAGAGAGAGAGAGAGGAAAATGTTTACTGGAGTAGGTCCTGAAGAGGCTGCTTGTAAAGGCTGGGGCTGATCTCTCCTCCACTTTTCATCAAAAAAAAGTGGACTATAGAAAACAGACTTTACAGTAGAAGGGGGGGGCAGCATGTTGGTACTGACTCCCTAAGACTTTTCACTTATTTGAAACAGAATTCCAGTTCTGCCTTTAGCATTTTATCAGTAGCAATTGTAAGAGCAGTCTGCTTTAGGCTAAGGCTAGCATCTAATGTCAACAGGTGAAACACCTAATTCAGGTAGTTCAATGTTCTATGCATTATCTGGCATTGGTGTATCTAGCTTAGGAAGCATCTGGGCCATACCAACCCACTGAGCCCATACCACAGACTTCCAAAGGACCATTACAGACATCCATACTGAGATTCTGTGCATGAGTACATGTGTGCATATGTCACATAAATAGGTTGGCTTCATTTTTATATACTGGATAACTATGTTATATAATCTTAGGTTGAATAAGTTATGAGTATGAGTGATCTCTTTAAAGAAAGAAAGAAAGAAAGAAAGAAAGAAAGAAAGAAAGAAAGAAAGAAAGAAAGGAAGGAAGGAAGGAAGGAAGGAAGGAAGGAAGGAAAGGAAGGAAAGGAAAGGAAAGACCTCTGGTTACTCTTGTGAAGCCAGCAGAGTCCATTTGTCATTGATTCTGAAGGTCTACGTCCCCATGTTCTAACACAGAATCTCTGTACATAGAAACATAAAACAGACCAGGGATACGAGCAGCTCATGTGAAAATCCTGAGAAATGTACATAGGTTGAAACAACTCTCGCATCCAGAACAAATTTGGATACACTGGATCCTGAGAAGCCCTTCCTCCCGCTCCCTGGAACCTGACCTGGATCGCGACATGCACCTTTATGTCGAGAAGGAACAGATGGACCCCTGGGCGTTTCCCGGAAGCTGAGTCCTACCACGGGAAGATGCCCACGGTGCTTCCCTGCACCACGGCAGCGCTGGCTCCAGTCCTGGCTCCCTGAGCCTGGCCTGTAGGACTCTGAGAAGATGCCTAGCCACCGAGTCTCAGCGTCTGTGTCTACAGAATGTTTATAAAACGCACCTGCCACACACTTTTTTTTTCCTCTGAGAATCATTACATTTGTAATAGGGCAGAGATTTCCTTCAAGGCTCTGCCTCTGGACAGCAAATGCATTTCATTACATGAAGTTTTTACTACACTATTCAGATTTATCGGATATGATTGACAAGTGACAATCTACATTACGCCATTTCTCCAAACTCCAGGAGAGCCATGAATCCTCCAGATCCCTTTGTCCTCTCTCTCTCTCTCTCTCTCTCTCTCTTTCTCTCTCTCTCTCCCTATTACATACACATGGAATACCATAACCATAGATTTTTCCCGTTTTCCCCTTTATTTTAACCTTAGGGATCTTTGAGCTTTTTCCTTGATTTTGATTTTTGGCCTGTTTTTGTTGTGCTGTGTTAGTAAGGAGAGCTGAAAGGCTCCTCCACTGCACTCTCCAGTTCTTTCAAGCCCGTGACAAGCTTGCCTAGAGTCCAACGGGAAGCACCGAGGACCACTGGGAGATTGACCAGGACGCGGCCTTCCGTAGCAAGCTCTCCCCTGCAGGACAACCAGACCAGGCAGCCTTTGATTCTAGACTTGATCCAGTCCAGTGCCAGCAGGGGTGAGCCTTCTGCACCATTCCTCTGAGCACCTTCCCGTGAAGACACTCATTACGCATTTTATTTACCTGGGGCCAGGAGGAAGAGAACAGCTAAGAGGAAAAGGAAAGTCTTCATGACCTGGAGACTCACGGGATGTCAGCACAATGCCCTGGGGAAAGGTCAGCGACACCCACATTTATACATTTCCCCGGACAAATGATTTTTTTAAGTGAATGATATCTTGATCAGTGAGGCTTGTCAGAGATGAGCGTGCTTCCAAACTCTGCTACGTAAAACTCAGAATGCTCCGTGGGTGCCAGCCAATGACTAACTTCTCTGACTGAGTATAAATATCCTCAGTGAGGAAAAGATAAAGACATAAACATCTAGCTCAAATAGCTTTGAGCCGTCTCGACTCCCGGCACCGTTTATGTGTGTAGCAAGTAAATGACACAGCGCTGCAGTGCTTCTGATAAGTCTGGGTGCCTTGTGGTCCCATGGAGTCTGAATTCCAGATTCAATCTTTTTTTAAACACAAATTTATTGTTACTATAAAGGTGATGGATAAGAGGATCACAGTCACATAAGTCAGGTAAAGAGCACATTTCTTTTGGGGCAGTGTCACCCCTTCCCTTGCTCTCTCCTGTGTTTCCCTCCCATCTCCACACAGCGTCTAGTGAGTGTCACCGCTGCATTTGTTCACCCTTTGTCGCACCATTTCTGTGCCCCGCCTTCCCTCCTAAAGACAGATAAACCAACAAACAGAACAAAAAGAAAACAGCAAAAAAGAAAAAAAAAACCTATTGTTTTCATTTCCTGGAGTTCATTTTGGAAAATACTATTTTGTATGGTGAGAGCCACATAGACATTACTCCTTTCTACTCCTCACCCCGGCCCAGATTCAATCTTTGCAAGCAGTGTACATCCAACCGAGTGCCTCACCTCAACATACATTTCACAGCTTACAAACTCTGGATCTTGCTGTGTGCTACCCCCAAGTTTGATACGAATCATGTTGTTTAATCCTAGACAGTTTTCCACGTTGGGGCTATTTCATAAGATGTGGAATGTGAATTGTGTGTTCTTCCAATGATTAAAATTGTGTAGAAGGTACACATCTTCCAACAGCTTCAATAAAACCAGGGATAGAAGCACTCTGAAGTCACAGTCCCCCGGGTCCCACTGAGCCCTGTGCTTAACTTGCACTAGATCAGCTATGCAGGTCCACATCATCCACTTGAATTCCTCTTTCATGAGACAAGGCATGAGGTGCACTGCTCTTGGAAAAGGAGATGAGGGTTCGTCTTCCTTTCTCCTCCTTTGGTTTACCCCCAAAGCAACCACTAAAATGCAAAACCAAGGGGCTGGTAGAGTGCTTGCCTTGCATGCATGAGGCCCTGGGTTCGATTCCTCAGCACCACATAAGCAGAAAAGGCTGGAAGTGTGCTGTGGCTCAAGTGGTAGAGTGCTAGCCTTGAGCTGAAGAGCTGAGGGACAGCACCCAGGCCCAGAGTTCAGGCCCCATGACCGACGAAAAAAAATCAATTAAATAAATAAATGCAAGGTTCTAAAACAGAACTAAGCACTGAAGCCGGGCGATGGTGGCTCACGCCTGTAATCCTAGCTACTCAGGAGGCTGAGATCTGAGGATCGCGGTTCAAAGCCAGCCCGGGCAGG